GGATGATTACTACTGATGACGTCGCATGTGCATTGCTCCATCCAAGGTTAGCGACATACCAATGCAACGCATCCAAATAGGATGATTACTACTGATGACGTCGCATGTGCATTGCTCCATCCAAGTTTAGCGACATGCCAATGTAACGTATCCAAATAGGATGATTACTACTGATGACGTTGCATGTGCATTGCTCCATCCAAGTTAGCGACATGCCAATGTAACGTATCCAAATAGGATGATTACTACTGATGACGTTGCATGTGCATTGCTCCATCGAAGTTTAGCGAAATGCCAATGTAACGTATCTAAATAGGATGATTACTACTAGATGATTTCTTTATATTATTACTATCCTTGTACTTGTGTAAAATAATACTGAATGGCTCAAGTGGTAGCAGAACTTAGAATAGTGTAGTAAACTACTATATCACAGTTGCATTAATTTGTCGGCCCCAGTTGACTAGAGCCGAGTTGACCTGTTTCCATAGAATGGACTACAACTAAAGTGTCTAGGTCTAACTAGGCTCTAGATGTTTTTCCTTTCACAAGATGACTCAATAGTTTACAGGGCCGGCGGAACGTTTTTCAAAGTGGGGGGGGGGGCCCCACTTATAAGATGAATGGGAATATGAATCATGCAGAGCTGGAAAAATCTAGGGGATGGGGGTCAACATTTTTCCCTAAAAGAAAAGGGGATCCGGGGTCCTCCCCTGGGAAAATTTTGATTTCTAGATGGCGGGAAATGACCTTTCTCGACTTTTGAGCTAGGTTTCTAATGACTTTGTTCTTCAATATTCAAGGTTTCCCCCTCTTGAAAACGGTCAGGTAAACTTTCTCATTTTTATTACAGTAAACAGGCCTGTTATGTATGTATACATACATAAAAAAAAAAGATTAGTTGTTGCATACGTATTCTTTTTTCAATGAATCGATAAGCTCCAAAGAAAAGGAGCGGGGGTTCCGGGGTTCCCCCCGGAAAAATTTTGAATCCTAGATGGCGGGAAATGAGGTTTACAGACTTCTGAGGTGTCTTAATCACTTTTAAGTTCTCCAAATTTCAAGGTTTTCCCCTCTTGAAAACGGTCAGGTAATTTTTTCCCATTGTTATTACAGGAAATAGGCCTTGTGTGTGTATACATAGGCCTACATAAAAATAAAAAATTAGTAGTTGCATACGTATTCTTTTTGTAATGAATCGATAAGCTTCAAAGAAAAGAGGGGTCCGAGTAAGTTCTTCAAAATTCAAGGTTTTCCCCTCTTGAAAACAGTCAGGTAAATTTATCCCTGTTATTACAGTAGATAGGCCTTGTGTGTGTATACATACATAAAAAAATTGAGTAGTTGCTTTCGATTTTTTTTCCATTAATCCATATATCCCAAAAGGAAAGGGGGGTCCGGGGATTCTCCCCCGTGAATATTTTGATTCCTAGAAGGCAGGAAATGAGTTTTCCAGATTCCTGAGGTGTCTTTTAAGTTCTTTAAAATTTAAGGTTTTCTCCTCTTGAAAACAGTCAGGTAAATTTATCGCATTGTTATTACAGTAGATAGGCCTTATGTGTGTATACATAATAGAAAAAAAATGAGTAGTTGCATACGATTTTTTTCAATGAATCCATAAATCCCAAAAAGAAAGGGGGGTCCAGGGGCTCTCCCCCAGGAAAATTTTGGTTCTTAGAAGGCGGGAAATAAGTTTTCCCGACTTCTGAGGTGTCTTTTATTTACTTTGGATTGGATTGGATTGATTCGGTGTAAACACCAAGGATAGCACACGAAAGTCTAGAAGAAGACTTGTTTCCAGTGGTCCTTCTGGTGGTGATTGGACAGTACACCGGGAGAAAATCCCCTACTGTTTTCCGAAGAGTGTACTGCGTTCTTTAACATGCACATGGGCCATAAATGCACACGGGACCAGCGGCTTAAACGTATCATCCGAAAGACGGTGCGCTATTGTAACTTGTAATTCAGCCCTCTAGCTGAAACACAAGGAGAGGCAGCGATGGGAATTGAACCGGGGACCTAGAGATCTCCACGGTTCAGCGCACACACAGTGACTACCACCAGATTAGCCGACTGAGCTAAGCTGCTCTCTAAGTTCTTTAAAATTCAAGGTTTTCCCCTCTTGAAAACGGTCAGGTAAATTTATCGCATTGTTATTACAGTAGATAGGCCTTATGTGTGTATACATACATAAAAAAAAAAAAATGAGTAGTTGCATACGATGGTTCTCCCCCGGGAAAATTTTGATTCTTAGAAGGCGGGAAATGAGTTTTTCCAACTTCTGAGGTGTCTTTTAATTACTTTTAAGTTCTTTAAAATTCAAGGTTTTCCCCTCTTGAAAACGGTCAGGTAAATTTATCGCATTGTTATTATAGTAGATAGGCCTTATGTGTGTATACATACATAAAAAAAAATTGAGTAGTTGCATACGATTTTTATCCAGGAATCTATAAATCCCAAAAAGAAAGGGGGGTCTGGGGGTTCTCTCCCGGGAAAATTTTGATTCCTAGAAGGCGGGAAATGAGTTTTCCCGACTTCTGAGGTGTCTTTTAATTACTTTTAAGTTCTTTAAAATTCAAGGTTTCCTCTATTGAAAACGGTGAGGTAATTTTTTCCACTTGTTATTACAGTAGATACGGTTGGCCTTATGTGTGTATACATACATAAAAAAAATTGAGTAGTTGCATACGATTTTTTTCCATGAATCGATAAATCCCAAAAAGATAGGGGGTTGGGGTTCTCCCCCGGGAAGATTTTGATTCCTAGAAGGCGGAAAATGAGTTTTCCCGACTTCTGAGGTGTCTTAATTACTTTTAAGTTCTTTAAAATTCAAGGTTTTCCCCTCTTGAAAATGGTCAGGTAAATTTTTCCACTTGTTATTACAGTAGATACGGTAGGCCTTATGTGTGTATACATACATTTAAAAAATTGAGTATTTGCATACAATTTTTTTTCCATGAACCCATAAATCCCAAAAAGAAAGGGGGGTCCGGGGGTTCTCCACAGGGAAAATTTTGATTCCTAGAAGGCGGGAAATGAGCTTTCCCGACTTCTGAGGTGTCTTTTAACTACTTTTAAGTTCTTCAAAATTCAAGGCTTTCCCCTCTTGAAAATTATCATAATGAATCAATGAACCCAAAAAGAAAAGGGACGTTCGGGTTCTTCCCGGGAAAATGTTAATTTCTAAACGGTCAGGTAAATTTATCCCATTGTTATTACAGTAGACAGGCCTTGTGTGTATACATACATTTAAAAAATTGAATATTTGCATACGATTTTTTTTCCATGAACCCATAAATCACAAAAAGAAAGGGGGTTCCGGGGGTTCTCCACAGGGAAAATTTTGATTCCTAGAAGGCGGGAAATAAGCTTTCCCGATTTCTGAGGTGTCTTTTAACTACTTTTAAGTTCTTCAAAATTCAAGGCTTTCCCCTCTTGAAAATTATTATAATGAATCAATGAACCCAAAGAGAAAAGGGACGTTCGGGTTCTTCCCGGGAAAATGTTAATTTCTAAATGGTTGGAAATGAGCTTTCCCGACTTCTGAATATCTTATAGCGATTTTAATTTAAGTTCTTCAAAATTCAAGGTTTCCTCTCTTGAAAACGGTCAGGTAATTTTTTCCCAAAATCCCAAAAAGAAAGGGGGTCGGGGGGTTCTCCCCCGGGAAAACTTTGATTCCTAGAAGCGGGAAATGAGCTTTCCCAACTTATGAGGTGTCTTTTAATTACTTCAAAATTCAAGGTTTTCCCCTCTTGAAAATGGTCAGGTAGATTTTTCTCATTTTTTATTTTATGTGCGTATACATAGGCCTAGGCCTACATAAATAAATGAGTAGTTGCATGCATATTCTTTTTTTCCAATAATCGATAAATCCCAAAAAGAAAGGGTGATCCGGGGGTTCTCCCCCGGGAAAATTTTAATTCGTAGATAGCGGAAATGAGCTTTCCTGACGTTTGAAGTGTGTTTTAATGACTTTTATGTTCTTCAAAATTCTAATTTTCTGATTGTAACATAAAAAAAAAAAAAAAAAAAATCAGCTCACAGGTCCTGAAAAGGTAGGTCTAGAATTTTCTCGCCGGCCATGGTTTGGTTTATGCGGTACAGTGCATCACATATCTACACATGTCCATTTGAACCAACGACCGTGGGGCTGCGGTACAGTACATCACATATCTACACATGTCCATTTGAACCAAGGACCGTGGGGCTGCGGTACAGTGCATCACATATCTACACACTTCTATTTGAACCAAGGACTGTGGGCTGCAGTACAGTGCATCACACATCTACACATGTCCATTTGAGCCAAGGACCGTGGGGCTGCAGTATAGTGCATCACACATCTACACACTTCTATTTCAACCAAGGACCGTGGGCTGTGGGGCAGTGCATCACACATCTACACATGTCCATTTGAGCCAAGGACTGTGGGGCTGCAGTATAGTGCATCACACATCTACACATGTCCATTTGAGCCAAGGACTGTGGGGCTGCAGTATAGTGCATCACGCATCTACACATGTCCATTTGAGCCAATGACCGTGGGGCTGCAGTACAGTGCATCACACATCTACACATGTCCATTTGAGCCAAGGACTGTGGGGCTGCAGTATAGTGCATCACACATCTACACATGTCCATTGGAGCCAAGGACTGTGGGGCTGCAGTACAGTGCATCACACATCTACACATGTCCATTTGAGCCAAGGACTGTGGGGCTGCAGTATAGTGCATCACACATCTACACATGTCCATTTGAGCCAAGGACTGTGGGGCTGTGGTACAGTGCATCACATATCTACACACTTCTATTTGAACCAAAGACTGTGGGCTGCGGTACAGTGCATCACACATCTACACATGTCCATTTGAGCCAAGGACCATGGGCTATGGTAAAGTGCATCACATATCTACACAAACCTGAATAGCATGAACTTGTGGAACTTGCAATTACATAATCTAATTAACAAAATAACACATTAATAATTTAAACTGACCTTTTGTGAGGGGGTTTCTGGAGAATTCAGTTTTTAGACATGATATAAGCTTACTCTGCTCTCTGTTGAGTTCTTCTGATTGGCTATTTTTTTGTGGAAAAAACACAATGCTATCTTTTTCCGGTGGATGGCAATAGTGCTTTAAATCTCCTAAAGTTGCCCCTGCACCATCAGTCTCCATAGGTGAAGAGTCATCAGTTTCAAGATCAGATTCTAATCTGCCTGTAGTTTTACCTGGAAAAATGCAGATTAGCTTTAACATAAACATTAAAATAATATTATTTTGAAATTTGTATATGTCCCATTAAAAACAATCTCAAGGTGCTTAACACATCACAAAAATAAAAAGAACTTGTACCATGAACCTAAAATGACAGAAAACCTAAAATATCAAAGCAATAACATCACCATACTGTCTACTTGAATGTAAGATACAAAGCCTACAGTAAGAACATTACAGTCACTCTTTACCTGCAATTAAAGAGCTAAGTATACTTGATTAGTTTAAAAGATTATAGGCCTATTTTGAGATCCAACAAATTTTAGAATGAAATGGATGCAGTCTATATCCAATTTGAGCTGCAGTTTTCGGCATTAACACACTCTCATTTCAATGCTGACAAAGAGCTTTCACACAAGTCTGCCATATTCAATTTGCTTAAATGTTTTTTTATTTGAATTTCTAGTAATGGGGACAATTTTGATGAAATAAAAATTTTGATCAATGTTTAATACACAGAAAATTAGCATATAACTCATAATCTAAATATTAAACACACCAGACAGTGTATCATTAATATTTTCAGACAGATACAAAAAGTGAAGAAACTATAATAGCTACCAGCCAAGTTTGATGCATCATTATGAAACGCTCCTCCATGCTGGCCTTGTGCACTGACTAGGGATGCAAAAATATTATGTCAACGTAGTCATAACAACAACAACAATAATAATAATAATAATAATAATAATAATAATAATAATAAGGATGTAGTCATAATATAGTCATAGCTTATGAAAAAATACTGCCAAACATGACGAAAATATAAATTATACAAAAATATTCTTCTGGTTAATTCTTCTCCTTGTACACATACTGTTAACTTTGAATTGAAGCCCTGAGCTCTTTTTTATGAAGTTAAAAGAAGTTTTCCTTCTTTAGTGGAACTACTAAAACTAATTACTATAATACAATTGGAATATAAAGTCATATTTTTGGGACACAAATTTCAATCAAAAACAAATTAAGAATCAAAAACACTGCATTAAACATACCATGTTTGGCTTTAGTTTCTTTTACCATCTGGACAAGATCAAATCTTTTAATCTCGCTCAACAATCTTTCAAGCTCTTGAAGATTGTCTTCACTAAATACTTTATTATCTTCTAATTTAGAAGCAAGGTCTCTGAAGTTTTTTATATCTTTCAGTTCTTCTGGTGGTAGAAAGGCACGACTTAGGTACTTGATATCTTCCGGCTCCTCTTCCACTAGTTCATAAGATATGTCAAGTACTATTTTATAGTATACTTCTTTAGGCAATGCCATGTTAAACAATTTGTGCTCTGAAAATGATTAAAAATTCATGATTATTTTAATAGTATAATTCATTCACCACAAAAAAAATTACTCAACTTATTAAATTTAGGCAATTGTACTTCCTTGTATTTGCTAATTAAAAATTAATGCGCAATATTTTTCAAAACTTGTCACTGAGTTTGATCTGCAACACACAGCAAATGCATTCCTTCATAGTGTACTTGTAAACTATGGCACCAACTCTGCATTTTGGAAGGAAAAACCCATATATTTTTACCTAAAAAAAAAAAATACTGTAATCAGTTTAATAAATTGTTTTTACAAAAATTATTTGATTTATTTATACTGTGAATAAACTTACTACCGTACATTTTCTTAGCTCACACTATTAATGACTAGAAATAGAATACAGCAAAGGTATTATTTAGGCCGTGGATATTGTTCACCAATTTCACTCATAAATCTGTGGTGCTGGTTAGTGAGGCTTACCATCTGAATGTACAATCGTTGGGGTCATGTGGATATGCATGGATTGTGCTGTGTGGAGAGATGGGAAGGCAGTAGGTGGGTAGGTGTCAGTGAGTGGGTGGGGATGCAGTGGGGTTGACAGTTATGTTTTTGGGTGACTTTTTTTTTTTTTACAATTTAAACATTGGGATATTTTTTTACAATCTTCTAGTAAATAATGCATACATTGCAGCACATGGCTGAATAATGAAACAAAAGTTTAAAATATATAATATATAAAAAATACAGAAATTGACATAAAAAATTGAAGGAAAAAATAAAAAATCGGTCAAAAGCAAATCATACATCAAAATATGAGACTTTAGGCCTAAGCCCCACATAGGGCTATACTTTCATTTCAATCATATAAGTCTTTGATGATTAATTGTGCTCACATTTTTGCTTTGGCCTTGTCCTATCTTAATCAATATAAGGTCCAATAAAAAAAATTATTAGTTTAGATTACCCCCGTCTGCACGTCTTCTTTGGTATAAAAAAAATTGGAAAAAAATAAAATTGAAAAGAAACATTTTTTTTGAAAAATTAGAAATGTGGCGAATATAAAATTTTTGGAGGCTTCGGTGCGTTTATTCAAGAGAGGCGATTATAAAAAAAAATATTGGCGTGGCACTTTCCATGCCCGTTTTCATGTTACCTATTTCATGTATTCCTGTAGTTCGGTAGGAGGTCCTACATCATAAATTTCTTCATTGTGTTATTTGTTCATTTTAACACTGTTGTGTACATTGTATTTAAAACCCTGTTTCTCAAAGTACAAATGTTCCTCTTACTATAAGGTAATTAATATAATTCTTGATAGGGTTTACAATAAGAAATTGATATCTACTAGAAATTGCAAATTGTAAGTGAAGTGCTGCGAAGTACAACTGTATATAAATGTTCTTCGAACAAAATTATTTATGCGAGTCAAGTGAAAATAATGA